AATCAATGGCGGGATGTATAAATACCGAGTCACATCAAAAGGATATTACCAAAATTGGACTAACAGTAAAGGTTGAAAATATACAAAGACAAATAAAAATACTATAACACGTAATTAAGATGATAAACAACGTCTGTACCTATAATCTATACTTCAAGACCATCACGTATTATTTGTGAAGTTGATACGGAATATCTTGGTATCTTCCGATGAACAGTACTGAATTGACTGCAAGCGAATTGTCTGAACATTACTTCATCAGATTGTTCAGTGAGCTCATATAAAGCTTGCTGACTAATTTCAGGAGGCTCTCATTGGTAGTTACTGAAAAAATAAGATGTAGTGTCGTCATACTACAGACAAAACTACAAATGTAAATATTCATTTGCAAATACTGTAAATTCGAAAAGGTTTGCCTGCGTTTATGATTGCAATTATTGAAGAATGTGCAAAAATATGAAGTAAGTTATTGCAATTTCCGTAAATGATCCTTACAAATAACGCTTATATTTTTTTGTTTAAAACGCAAATTTTCGCAATAGTAGAAATTTCGAAAAATACCGATATTTACAGTACCTAATATTGTGTTTATTATTTTGTCATTTCGTCAGCAGTCAGCAGTTTTAGCACCTTAGTATAAACTAAAGATTGATGTGATTTTATTTCTTATAGTTAAGTTCCTATTAAGTGAGTAAAACAAAACACTTACTTCCTCTTATCTGAACAATTCTCCACCAGTAAGAACACAAAATGCTAAACTGATTCCAGCTGTCACAGCTGAACATACTATATCTATAAAAAAAAACAAGAAAACTCAAGAAAACTCAAAAGTATTATATCAGTACCGATTGCTATACTGAGACTGAGTCCTACTCAGTACCTTTTGATAGAATCTACTGCAGACCTTTTTCGTTAAAAACAGTTTATGCGTTTGAAGGGAAAGCGTTGTGGTTATTTGGGTACATGATTTTCTCAAATTCTGTATAAAGTTATATTTTAACACTTAAAAATGTGGTTAACCTATACCCAGAAAATCCAACAAATTTAGCATATCATAAAAATAGTGATTGATTATTGTTTGCTTATTATCCAGTGGTCAATATTTCATGTATATACATGATGACAATAAAAAATAATGATTCAAAATTGTATATATAAGCATAAGCAATTTAATCCCTTTGCTGCTACATCTATTCATAAGATATATATAGGGATAGAACTAATCAATTCAATAATACTCTGCAGTTAACAGAGCAATTAGTACTGCAATGATAAATAAGTACAGTCATAGTACTTTAGTGTGTACAAAGAAGAAAGAAGTAATAAAGTTTGCTGGTTTGCAAAATAGAGCATATAAGCACAATTTCCTTTATTGAGTAGTAATGAGACTTATTCTAGATAATCAAATCAAAGGACTTGTAACAAAGATAACAAAAAATTTTGTTTCTCATCAACAATAGCTTTTTAGGAAATTATGGTTAGTAAACTTTTAAGGACAAGATATATTTAATACTTTAGCTATATATGTGATTAAGTCTTGTCTTTACCCTGCATCATTGCATTTATTTGTACCTATTATCAAGTTATTATTTTTGTCACATTTTCTGTTTTTCTCGGTTTATTTACTACTTATTTGAAATACTTAAATGACAATAAACCTGTTAAACCTACCTCTTTTTTCTTCTTTGGTGTCATATCTAGGACAAAAATAAGAAAATATTACCCGAGCATGCAGCAAAATGTACAGATGGTTCTTCTTTGCCAATACACAATCCAGTTGATACAGGTAACACCATTCCAACTGCCTTTGTAAATAATGTACCCATTCCGAAATACGATTAATATGGTTTAAATCTAACAAAAATGTATTTTGTTAGTCAAGGGTTATAAGATTCTAGTCATATTTCGTTATCATAGGATAAACAAAAGCAACAGTAGTATACCGCTGTTCAAAAGTCACAAATCGATTGAGAGAAAACAAATCCGTGTCACAAACTAAAACCGAGGGAAACACATCAACTATAAGATGAAAACAACGAAATAACAGAACACAGAAGTGCAACAATAAACAAACAAGAATGCAACATAAATCATTTTTATTTCAAGCTTGACAAGCATTTCGGTACAACTTGTCTTCTCCTTGATGAAATGATCTGTCAGTGTTTTAATAGGTATTTTTAAATTTTGTGCTTTCTACTAGTGACAATGATTTTAAGTGTAATTCAGTTATCATGGTACTTCATAACAGTATCTCAACCAGATATACAATACCATTTTCTACATAAGGAAATGCCTGTACCAAGTCAGGAATATGACAGTTGTTTTCCATTCGTTAGATGTGTTTGAGCTTTTGATTTTGCCATTTGATTAGGGACTTTCCGTTTTGAATTTCCCTTGGAGTTCGGTATTTTTGTTATTTTACTTTTTACTCATTCAATTCATTGGTGTCTATTCTAAATCATTTCTAGTACTCTGCAAAGAATGCAGCAGCATTCCCATTTCTCTCTTCCTTTTTTACAGCAGGTAATATTAGAAAAGAAAGTATGCTAAATTTATGCTGATTAATGTGTTGAACATATCATTTCTATTGTCATCATTTTGTTATAAACTTCTGTTGGTTGTACTTCAGTATGATAATAAAAATAAATTATTCGACGAGCGCAGCTTGATACGACCGCAGAGGTCCAACCCTGAACAGTTGGGGCACAAATGGACACAATATTCGCGCTTGATACAGGACTGAATTTGGATTGTAATTAAATATTTGACACATAAAAGGGTTCTGACACAGAATAACTGTAGTCAAAGAACTTAGAATTGGTTATATAATTTGAATTTATATTCAATTCTTTGCTTTTGTGCAATACACTTTGCTGTCGCGAATTGACCCCCCTCTCCCCCCACAAAAAAATAACCCCCTTTTTTCTGCTTTTGTGCAAATTGTGCAATACACTATGCTGTTGCGTATTGACCCCCACTTTAATATTTGAAGAATTTTTCTTTTTTAATTTCTGAAATCTGAAATGAGAAAAAATTGACCCACACAATTTCTTTTTAACCCCCCCCCCCCCTCCTTTTCCAAAAAAAATCTGTCCCTTAAGATATGGTTATAATCTCAATTCAAATTACCAATGGAGTTTGCAACCATAATTACCAATTTGAATACATCATAAAAATCTTAAAATAGAAAATGACATACATAATCATGCCTAAAATTAATATTCCTTAACATTTCATTATACATAATTTAAAAGCAGTGTAAGGGAGGTAATCAAAACGTTGTGTTTGGATTACCTCACTTACACTGCTTTACAATTGTCTTAATTGTCCATTTACCAGGACATCCTTGTTTTTCTCCCTTTTTTGCCCCTAATTCCTAAACGGTTTGAGCCATAACCCCCCAAAGCAAATCCTAGCCATCCCTTTGTGGTATGGAAATTTGTGGTATAATTTCAGAGAGATCCATACACAGTTTCACAAGTTATTGTCTGGAAGCTAGAAAAATGCTTATTTGGCCCCCTTTGGTCCGTTATTCATAAACTGTTAGGATCATAACCCACAAAATCAATCCCAACCTTCCTTTTGTGGTTATAAACCTTTGTTTAAATTTCATAGATTTCTATTTAATTATACTTAAGTTATTGTCCGGAAACCAACTGTCTTCGGACGATGACGACGACGACAACGACGTGATACCAGTCGTATAAAAACATGTTCAGTTTCACTCACAGATCCTTCCTACTTTTATTGCTGTTATTATGTTTATAACTTGTAAAAGGATCAAATGTATTATATGCAGGGAACAAATTTTCTGTATTTTCAGGACAATGCGTACCTTAAAATGAAAAGATATTGGTATGATTGTCCAGGTTATTCTCGCATTAGAATATAAGCTCTTTGATTTGTAAATGAGTTGTGTACACGCTTTTAATAATCAAATTCTCTAAACAATATACAGGCTTTATATAAATACTCGGGTTCTGGTGTTATAGAGTTGTCATCCTTGTCAACATATGTTGATATTAAGATGGCGATACTTTAACATGTAAACTATGCAAACATCAAAAATCAATGAATCATAACTGAAGGTTCAGGTCCAAACAATCATGCATGAGAGGGCGGAATCAAATAATCTCCTTTTTTATGAGATACGCGTGCTAATGCTGATATTACACACCAAATTTCATTGACTTGCCATTAGTCGTTGAACTAAAACTGACTTAATCAAAAACTTTAACATTTAAACTCTGCAAAATTGTCATAGTCAATTTACTGTAAAAGGAAGCAGTGCAGCATCAAAAAATTTCCAAATCTGCAAATTTTTACACAAAAAAGCATAAGAATTCTGGATACATGTCTGTTCATTTATGGGTCTATTTCATTCCTTAGTTTTTATGTATGTGCTTATATTATCACAGTGCTTATTAATATGGTATGAGCATGTTTTGTTTTGCTGAATAATGCTGGCATATCATTACATAATTTTTGCTTGCTTTGTTAGTCTGATTGCATGTATTGTAATGTCCATTATTTGTATGTTGGCAAAAAATTCTACTAAGATTATGTTAAATTAGTATGATACAATTACTTTCAATAAAACGTGTATGTTTATGCTTATGCAGTTCACAGGAACACATTTCACCCTTACATTACCTCAAGGTGACCATCATTTGCTCTTCCTTCTGATAGATTTGATAGATGCCATTAATATAGTCACCATACTATGACTTATTCAGTATCAACTATAAAGTGAACCTAAAATATATAGGATACTGTCTTATTTTACCTGATAACACCCTGCAAGAAGTCTGCTTCATAAAAATAATGACGACTAGAAGAGAAGCAACATTATTTTCAATAAGATGTCGGCTATCTGGTTAATTATCGAAATTTACAACAGTTGTAATCCTTAGTATTAGTTAAATGACATAATGAAAATTTTAAGCAAATTTTGCAATCAATCCATTACCAAAGAATACATCATGTAGAAATGCAAGACATTTCAGATTATTCAGATCTTTATTTATATATTTTGTTTCAATACAATACAACATCATTTCACCCATCATAAAAAACACACATACTTTAACGTTCAACATGTACTAATAAATACATTAACTCTTCTATGGTAAGAGGAGAAGGCCAATGCCATCATTAACTTTTCCTAGGTATTCATACCAGAGTGATAAAAGATGGTTATGATCTAGTAGATAATTACCATATATGCATAAAAGTAGCGTATTTCACATTTTATCTTTACACTGCTATAGACAAATTCAATATTAATACTTTGTGCATTTGTTTAATCTTTGTATACCTTAACTATACAAACCTAAAAAGATTCATTATAGCCTGAATGTCATGGGCACTCTTACACCAAAATTACTTAAAAGATAACTTCTGACAAATATTGCAAGAGATCACTTTGTTATCATCAATTCGGTACAGTTTCAAACATTTTACCTTGCCGCTACAGCAGAGCAATTGTTAAATAATTGGCAAATCAGAGTCAAACTGGTTTTTCATCTTAAAAATTATTCATAAAAAACTTTCACATCAATCCTGCCAGGAAATATTAAAACGAGTCATACAGACAAATGGTGAAAATGAAATATAATTTTCCATAAGATTTCAGTGGGAACTAAATATGACCCCTATCAACATTACATGAAAATCATCTGTGGGGGATGTTCCAGGCATCAATCTCCTTAATTTTCAAATGTACCTTGTAAGAGAATATTATAATATATTGGCTTGCAGTCATTTTTTCCTTCCACTGGAACAAAATGAAATCATTGGTAGGAAAGCTAGAATTCACCATTAATGTAGTTTTGGATAGAATTGGTTCATTTGTTTCAGTGATGATGATGAAAGTATGATTTCCATAGGTGGTCAAAGGGAAATATACTCAATATTTTCAGAGTAATGCTATCCCATTATTTTATTTCATAAATACAAAGTATTTTTTGTACTTTTACCATTTGGCCAATATTGGTATACCATAGCTAATTTTTAATTAATTTACAGATCAATATTTTCATAATTTTCAGATGATAATTTAAATATTGAAGGTGATAAATAAATTTAAAAAGCAGCATTTTATTTTCCTTGAACAAAAACATAAAATAAATAAAAGGTTGTTATTGACATTGAAAAGAAGATTGCTTCATTTTGTCTGAGCTGTCTTCTCTTTTTCACCAGTTCAAAAAATAGATTACTAACACAGATATGATGCAATACACCAATCTTGCTAAACATGAAATTTTTAAAGATGACTTGAATATAGGATTCATGGATTGACCTTGTGGCACAGTACAATGCATTTAAAGAACAGGCAACCATAGTATTTAGCAAACATACACTCTAATCACACTGTCTTTATATTTGTTTTAAATCTAAATTTCCAGCCTCAAGACTCAACAAAGAGACTGTTTTTGTTAAACTTTACATTTGGACCATTCAATAAGGAACATAGAAAATAGAAATGTACTTCTTGTTCCATATCTAAAAACTATAAAGATAAATGTATTTAACCCACAGCAGTTTATTTTCATCACATTAAAAATAAAAGATAGACTGTGTAATCCATATAAACTTACACTTACCATACATCATACAGCATTTTATATCAAAGATTCACATTCAGACTGATATAAAATAAATTATACACTACCACTTTTATTTAAACAAGTAAACAAAATATTCTCCTATGAAAATCAAACAATGGTTTTTAAAATAAGATATTACCAGTACAAATATTATCAAATTTTTATAAATAAGAACTACTTCATTTCCGTAAAGATTACTTACAATGTGAATAAGGAGTTAATGTCTAATTTTATTGCTCAGTGATGAAAATCAAATAAAACTTCAAGAATACCTACCTTTAATTTAATTATGTTAAAGAAGATGTTGAAATGAAACATCATTTTTGATATTTTGAATTTTTCAATGAGTGATAAAAACACAAATTCTTTGGCAAAGCAAACATTTGAATTTTTAGAGTTGTATGGCCATGCAATTAAATCAAGATTTATATTATCTTTTGAGATTTGTGAAATCCATATACATTTTGTAGTACTTACTTTTAACTGACTAATTCAATCATGATAATTATTTTTGTTTTAAATTTGCTAAAACAAAAGCAGTATGGACTTTCCAGAAATGTAAGAACAATTATGAAGGAACAGAATAACTGTCATTTTTAATCACTATACACCACTATTTTGTACAGCGTAAACATGATGACAGATTCCTAATACATATCATACAATACTAACATAAAGCATAATAAATATTGACTTTAATTACATACAGTTAACTCAGGTTATTTAATAAACATAAAATTCTAATAAAATAGATTATCACAGCCAAGTCGAGCCACCTCTGCACATAAAATATCAGTCTGTTATGAATGATTAGTATATACACTAGAAATACGAATTATCACTAAACATCACACAAAGCCACAGTACAACAATCTAACATGGTTTTATTTATAATTACAGTATACATATCTTGAGTAAATGTATAACATTTTGTAACTATACACATCAGCCCATGTGTACTTTAAATGATTCTATTTCTTTATTTTACAAAACATAACAATAAAACAAATAAATGTGAGATTAATAACATATGTAGGGAACCAGTTTCACTGATTTATAAACCAACAAAAATACATCAGGACTACTGTAATATTGAAAAGGGACTTCCTTGAGTAGGATTACTTTAAACTGAATCAGGTATTCCTTGAACAAGATTGGATTAGATGTTCCTAAGATATGATTAGTGTAAACCAAATCAGGTATCCCTAGTATAGTAGTAATGTTAAACTGAACCAGGTATCTCTGGAAAAGATTTGGATCATGTATCTGATGTTCCTGAGATAGGATTAGTGTAAAACTAAATCATGTGATCCCTAGTATAGTAGTAATACAAAACTGAACCTTTCAAAAATAGGATTGCATTACTCACAATGTAATGCAACTAACGTTGTCTAATTAACTTTTTTTTAAGATTCCAAAAACATTTCAGACATGTTTTTAAACAAAACAACAGATGACAGTACAATTTTTTTTATGATTTTCTTTTGAATCATAGATTGACATAAAAAAGAAAACAAATAGGGAAAATGAATCTGATGTTAATATACAGTTTATGTTTTTTCTATTACACACACACATATTTCTAATTCTTGTGTACTTATGTTAACAACTTACACAGAGAAGCATATAAAACAATTCTACAGAATAATAACACAGCACACAGTCGAATGATAGGGGACAGTGTGGAATGAATTTAAACAACCTGGAATGTATCTATCCTTTCAAATACCTGCTCAATTATATATCTCACATCACTATCCTTACAACAATAAATTATCCTTTTAACGATTACATATAGCAATGTATCTTCATAATCATTTGTTGACCTCTCAGATAAAATATTATCCACACATTAAACACAGAGGAATGTTTCCATAACCACAATCCAGGAAGTTAATTAAACAATATAGATTCAGGATCTTGGTTACCAAGTTGTGCTACATGGCGTAAAACATCTTTCTTTGTTATAATACCCAGTAGTCTTCTGCAAGAAATAAATTATAATAATATAAATAACTATTTGACTTAAGACTACCAAAAAAATTAATACCGACTATGTTGGAAAAGGGCCTACAACCCCTATACCAGCTGGGATGTCAAACTTTTAATCAACAACTTAATCTATTTTGAGAAAGTTCATGCATTAGTTTTTGGCACAAACTTAAACAAAAGTTTTACAACTGCGTCTCATTTTAGAACAATTATGAAAACTTTATCTCACTCTGTTTACATACGGATTTCTTCCGTTTTTCATTTAAGTTTGTATATTCAAATTGGTTTAAAGAGTTTTGAACATTAGTTTGTTAATTATTTTTATTTACCTGTGTACGTTATTTTATTTGGCAGCATTTTGTCCAAGGTTATGGTTGTCTTTCTCATACTGTTTTACATCTGACCCCCTTGTTTTATAAATTTTGTATTTACATTGTGTCATAGATCAAATTTATTCGTTCAGTGTATGTTCACTTGTTTTTGTTAATATGTCTTTTGATTGAGTTAAGCCATTTCAATTGATATTTTATAGTGTGTCTTTCTATGTTGTGATGTTACACTGTTGTTTCAGGTAGGGTGAAGGTTGCGGCCTTTTAAAACGTTTAAACCTGCTGCATTTGTTTGCACCTGTTCTAAGTCAGGAACCTGATGTTCAGTGGTTGTCGTTTGTTGATATGGTTCATAAGAGTTTCTTGTTTCTTGTTTTTTATATATATTAGACCGTTGGTTTTCCTGTTTGAATGGTTTTACACTAGTCTTTTTTTGGGCCCTTTATAGCTTGCTGTTCCGTGTGAGCCAAGGTTCCATGTTGAAGACCATACTTTGACCTATGATGGTTTACTTTTTAAAAATTGTGACTAGGATGGAGAGTGTGTCTCATTGGCACTCATACCACATCTTCTTATATCTATCTAATAACTTTATTGGTATTAACAAATGAGATGTAAATAATGAGACAACAGAGTTGTTGCTTAATATCATGAGAAATACAATTGAATTATACACAAGGCTAATGTGGCCTTTTAACTTAACTTAACAATTTGAAAAAGCACTGATTCCCAAGAAATATATCAAATCTAAAAAAAAAATCTATTATCAAATCTATTCAGGTCATGGTACCATGGCGTCATAAGGACCTGAGGATAAAACAAATCTTCAGCCCAATGAAAACAAATGGGTGAAGTATTATTTGGAATGAAATAAGCAACTGCACCAAGAGCGCATGTTACACCCTTGTTTGGATATTGAAAATTGTTTAAAGAAAATATAGAATATTGAGAAGGTATTGAAGTAAAAGTAAGTCAAATGGGCCTGAAGAATAAGTTGCATTAGGACTTGATAAGGCGTATAAATATTGCCTAAAATATGACTCTTAAAAGTCCAATAATCTTGGAACTTTAGACTTGAAATTTTCAAAATTAAAATTGAGCCTACATTCACCAATCTCAACAACAGTATAAATAATAATATAAACTGTACCAATTTTACTTCACCAGATGCACTTTGTGATAAGTAAAGTTATTTGAACTAAGCACCCTAGAGCTAGTGCGTTAATACATGTGAAAAATATCATTTAATCTGACTGTTAAAATGTTCAAAATCAAAAAGTTCCTTACTTTTACCAATTTCAACAATTTTGTAAAGTTTCAAATAAATCTATTCAAGCATGCTCAAGTTTGTGTTATTAAAACTATACCTGACAGTTAATCAACCTAAGTATACTCTAATAATTGTGCAATGTGGATAAATTGCCTTAGATCTGACAGTTAAAGTTACGTAACTCTGGGAAATAAAATGTTAAATTATCAATTCCAACAGCAGTAGGCCCGAGAACACAGTTATTTCGTAGTGCATTTCTTTTAGACAATACATTCAAATTAAAAAAATCGCACCTGCTCTATCTCAAAAAGATTTTTACAGTGTAGTGTACTACTATTGATACAAATAATATCAAAATTATAGAAACTTCTACCAGCTCTAACTCAAAATATTGACAATTCTGTGTTAAGGGGGGCTAAAATTCAGTTTGACAGCTTCAGACATTCTAATGTTTGACCTTTTTTAACTGGACCAAATCACTACTTAACATAAAGATTCAGCACCCAAATTTTTTTAACATGTAATTTCATCCCCTTACTTAATATTTCATGCATAAAATATCAAGAAATAAATTGGGAAAGTGTATCAAAAAAAAATGCAAGTTATACACTGTTCACACTAGGGACTATATTCGTAGACAACAAAAACCAAAGGACGATAACTGTGTCCTTGGACCTAATACGATAGAAAGACTTGACCAATTTTAATAAAACTTTGCATGACCTAAGCGTAGGGAATTATAAGATAGTTGGCCAAGTTTCATGGCCATAAGATATATATTATAGAAACTATGGTCATTTTAATATTGAAATTTGGATGTTTATTTTTGACGTTTAAATCAAATATTTTCAACTATCAAGATTTTGGCCTAAAAAATTTAAATATTGCAAAAATGTGCTTTTTAAATACTCTTGATTATAAAATAATAAGTATTAAAAGCAACGGAACACTCATTTGATTTATCAGATTTATTACAGCTATTCAAAAGTCAAATTTATATGAGCCTGTGCCTGAAAATAGAGATTTTCTAATTAAGGGAAGCCTTACATAAACATGCATTTTTTTCAACCAATTTGAAGTTTTTGAAGTTTTTTAACCATACATTATTCTTTCATATATATTAAATGTACTTTAAATGTAAAGAAAAGTTACAAAAAGCATACCACATGAGAATAAAATGGTCTTAGGCCAAGTAAGACTGAGAATTATTTAGAGTCGATTTAGGCCATAGACAATATTTACATATAAAAATGCACACAGAGGCTATAAGAAATGGAAATTTGTTACTTTTTGCTCATTTCTATGCTAAGATGTCATGATACAAGAAGTCTAATTGCAAAAGGACTCTTGAATTCAACTTTTTTTTGCAGACAGTATGGTCTGATGACCAGTTTTTCACTTTTCAATGGAAAACTTGCATGTAGTTTTAGTCTCAATTGGCATATATTTGAACCACTTACTATCCTAAAGAAGAAAATTATGGTAGCATATGAAATGAATAGGGTGTACTGATCATTGTAGAGTTTTTTTTTACAGACTTAGTGAAATATTTGTGATGGACTACAGATTTTATGTACAAAGCTCTTCACATTTCACATACATCAAACAGGCCGTTTAACCAGGGACATAAATACAAATATTCTGCACATTTTTTCTGTGATAATCTACTTTTCTCTAGATTCAGAGTTCACAAATGGTTAATTAAATTTGATTTAAGCATAGAAACACAAATATCAGGAACATAAAAAGCTGTCAGATAGAAAGTCAGCATGGCTCTTAGGCATAAAATGGAAACTGCTTTAAAATGCTTATTTTAGCCATATAATGCCAAAATGGGACATTTTAACAGAATTTCTGTCAAACAAAGATGTAAATCCTTTACTTTTATTGAGTTTGACAAATTGAAACCAGCAAACCATTCAGGAAAGTTGCCAAAGTACAAAATCTACATTTACGGAATTCATCTCTTAGGCCCGAGAACACAGTTATTTCGTAGTGCATTTCTTTTAGACAATACATTCAAATTAAAAAAATCGCACCTGCTCTATCTCAAAAAGATTTTTACAGTGTAGTGTACTACTATTGATACAAATAATATCAAAATTATAGAAACTTCTACCAGCTCTAACTCAAAATATTGACAATTCTGTGTTAAGGGGGGCTAAAATTCAGTTTGACAGCTTCAGACATTCTAATGTTTGACCTTTTTTAACTGGACCAAATCACTACTTAACATAAAGATTCAGCACCCAAATTTTTTTAACATGTAATTTCATCCCCTTACTTAATATTTCATGCATAAAATATCAAGAAATAAATTGTATAAAGTGTATCAAAAAAAAAATGCAAGTTATACACTGTTCACACTAGGGACTATATTCGTAGACAACGAAAACCAAAGGACGATAACTGTGTCCTTGGACCAGTATATAGTTTTTATCAAATTGATCAAAGCAAACTTAAGTTATCGAGCGATATCTAAAAAGTGCCCTAAATCTGATAGTTAAAGTAACTTAACTCTAGAACGACAGATCAATAATGAAAAGACACTTTCTTCCTTGAATGTTAATATTGTTTTAAAATTTCATAAGAATTCTTTAAAAATAAGTTAAGTTATTGTCCAAAGTGGTGACATATGAACGGATGAACAGACAGAAATCTAGGGTATACCATACTAAGTCCCTAATTGGCTAATAAAAATGAACAGACACATAGAGGGCATATGTCATTCCAATGTATCTCTTCCTACACCTTTCAGACCCCTTTCACAGCAAATCATCTTAAAAATAGTTTAGATGATAATGAATCAGTATTAGAAGTGTCACTCAAACAAGTAGTTTTCAAATTGTAAATAATGTATTAGTACTTTTTGCAAAACTGGAATCAATACCTGATTTTTATGCAAAACATTGAGGTAAAGAACATCGGAAAAGTTTTGTAACAAATCCAAAACGTAATTTTAAGGAAAAGTATTTATCTATATTATATATATTTATAATTAAATAATCAGGTATCAAAACTTTTTTTTAGTTGGTAAAGTCTTGTTAAATGTAATGGTTGTATGTACATTAAATATTTCAGGAAAAGACAAGATAATTAGGATAATTGTCAAATAACACAACACCATAGTATTAAATGTCCACATCAAATGTTTACCCAACAGATAGTCTCTTTTTCTCTTGTTTGAAGTAAAATTTGCCTTTATTATAGAGATGTCTGCTTCTGCAATTTTGTTATAAAGAGTAAAATCAAGAGCAAAAAGAGAGGCAAAAGTTACCAAAGGTATGATCTCATGTGCTCCAGAAGGGCAAGCAAATCCTGCTCCACATGTGGCACATGTCGTGTTGCTCATGTAATTACAAACCCTGTGATAAATCTAATTCGGTAGGTCATATTCTGGGAAATCACATGCATAAAACTGAACCTGTTTGTCTCTCCATCACTGACTTTTCTTTATGTTTGTTAAAAGACTCCACATAAACTAGCATAAGTAAAATCCATCAAACAGAATTTTTATTTCTATTTGAATTAAATTTTAAAAATTCACTCAAAGTATATCAGATGTACTGATTTCTAAGAGGTGAAAATTGTTGGTTTGAAAAACATGCGATAATGTGTTTGTCCATAGTCTGCAACTGATATGTGTGTCAATATAAGCTTTCTGATACATTTATGAAATGACATTAACAAATTGTGTGACTGAAATGTGCATAAAAAATAAGCCCTAATTACATTTCTATAACGACAAATACTCATTGTGTGGAACTAAAGTGTACAAAAATATATGCACTCCATACTTTTCAATAATGATACTTTACCACTGTGTGACTAAAGTGTGCAACGGTATTTAATTTCTATATATCAGTTCAATTACAAACTATTTATGGAGTTTTTTGTTCAATAACAGTACATCAGGTGTATTTATTCTTTTCTCAGAGGTGCAAAAAAGTGTTGATATAAAAAAAAAATCTGTGGTTAAATAATGTCTTTGCCCAAAGTTTGTAACTAATATATTTGTCAATACAAGCTATCCATACATTTTTACAAGGCACTTAACCATTATGAGTAACTAATGTCTGTCTAAATTCAAGTTTTCTTTAAAAAAAATTACAATGACACTTACCAAATATATGTGTTACAAATGTTTGTCTAAATTACGGATATCTTAAAATTTCTGAAATGCCACTTACCCATTATGTGTAACTAATGTCTGTCTTAATCCAAGTTTTCTGAACATTTCTACAACTGTTTCCATTGGAGTCTGGTCAGTTATTGTTATAGGTGCCTAAAATTATAAATTCCTGTACAGAATAGTTCATGATAATCATTGTTTAAGATCAAAAATTAATATTCTAAGCAACAAAAAGTCAAACTTGATCTTAGACACTTTTAAATAATTTGTACATTTTCTTTATATCATTGTATTGCACATGATTCTTCATTTTATTAACTTTATTAACATTGTCAAATCATATATTACTCTTTTCTTATGTTTTTTAATGTCTATTTCTGCCTCTATATATAAGAAAATCCCCAATTGTGATTTTTTAATCTGGATAATAAAATTTATCAGTGGATTTTTTCATACAAATATTATTTAATTATAGGTGGTTATTTGATAGGAAGGAATGTGTTGTTATTCCATTATCAATGTATGTCACCACTCAACGATATATTAAAACCTCTATCATAACACTTACCATATCTAATATTTTTCTTAATTTAAGTGGAGCAGGATCATTAGGATTATTTGGTACCTGACTTGAAAAATATACTATAGAGTTGCTAACTACTCCTTCTTGATTTTTTCTTGCATTAGCTGTAAAATAAGGGAAAGATCAACATTTAAGAGTTGTTTCTGTTACCGTATTGCAGCAAAGAGCATTGATACAAAGATTTTCAACAAATTGTAATAAGAATCTGGTAGCAAAATATTAAGAATCTTAGTTATAAGAACTTAAAAATGTGTGCATTTGTTTCATTTTTTTTTAATTTCTTTTTTTCATCGACCAGTTGTTTTAGGTTAATGCTGTGGTTTGACTAACTTTTTGAAATAATTATTTCCCTTTTTATAAAGATAATATTTTCTTTTTATTTCTTCACAGTTTTGTGTAGCTTTCCAATTACGGAAAGCCTTTTAATTGAAGTAGTAAATTGGCAGTTCAGTAAAACTTTCAGGCTTTTTCCTTTTTTCTTCTATATCTTACCAATTGCTAACATTAAATCTCTTCGTAAAACAAAACCAACAAGATATTGTGATTCACTGGACAATACTACAGGGAACCCATTATGACTTGTATCTCTAAATATGGCTTCTGAAATGGAAAGAATTTCATCTTTAAATGAAAACGACACTTACAAATGTTTTGTGTCCTAAAATAGTCCAACAAAGGAAACATTTAATTGATTATAATATTTATTCATTAAACTTAAAGAGTAAAATTTATTTCATTTACAAGAGCGGCTTTGCATATTACAATTGTCTAAGTAGTTGGTCAACAGCGACAAATCATGTCAGCCTTAGTGGTTCGCTGGTATAACAAGGGCGCCAATTGTGTTCCCTTCTGTAGTCTTTAGGACCAGAAACACCAAACCTACCACTTTGTAATAAAAAGTTTTTAGTCACTTGCTAATATTTAGTGATTACCTATAGTTCTCTAGTTCCTCAACTCATAAAACTGACTAATATAAAATTATAGAGTAATACAGTGAAATAAGAAATTATAAGTTGGTATAGCACTTTGAGAATTGTATGATGGTAACAGCCTTATAAATGTGATATTACAATATAGTCCATTTCAAAGGTTTATAAGCCAATTTTTTTTATCCTCATTGAATTCTGTGTATTTAAACAGAGTTGTGTATCACTTTTTCAAGACCCACTACAAATATCAATTATATCAAATCATATCATAATATCTTACCCACTTCCTCTACTGTCATAGAATCTTGTGTAATTACACAAAGTGGAGGGTCGTTTCTCCTGAAAAAGAAAAAACAAATGTTCATGATATCATGTAGAATAACTATATGAATGTCATTTAAGATTTGTCTGAAGGTAATGTATCAGTATAATAATAAAATTATTTGATTTAATTTTCATTTGATTGTCAATTTCAGTGCAGAATCTTGTTCTGATGATTTTTTTCTCATCAAATTTAAATATAGATTTGACAAAATACAATCACAGCTATGTAACAAATATTATTTAGCATTGTGCTAAATTTTTGTTTAAACAGTTCGTGACATAATGAGTAAAATCAAATCTTTCTAAATCAGCTATCATTTAAGAGGTTTTTTTTTTTGTATATTTCCTAGCTTAATTTTCTGTAATCGAAATTCTATTCCAATTAATTTTAAAAATTGTAAGTGCTGAAATCAACATTTCTTAGGCGAAACAGTTAAGCTTCTATGCCTGAAGTTTGTTTTAATTATTCTCAAATCAAAATGGAATTGACAACTTTACATAAAAGGAGTAGGTGCACAGTTAGATCCTTATTTGGCCCCAAATAATTAAGTCTATTATATCAAGATAAAAAATGTGGAAAGTTGATGCATATATATGCAAAAAATGAAATAAATTGACCTCTAGTGAGGTTTTCAAACAAAGCTTTGATTGTTACATCGAAAATGGATCAAAAATAGAAATTTTGGTAAAACTTGAAAAGAAATCTTCTGGATTTCAACCACAACTTGCCCTAGCAAACATAGAGCCCAGGAAAACTAAAATTAAAGTCAGATCATAGTTCACTTGTTATAGCAATCGTAATGTTAAAAGATCTTTTTCAATGGTGCTTGCCATTTTTATTTCAGGTCCCAAAAACCTAATCTTAATTATTAACCACAAGCTCTTTTGATCAGACTAGTAAAACATGTGTTGGACCAGTAAAATTTTCCTGAAAAAAGGTCACAAGCTATATCAATTTATAGAAATTTTATGAATGAGTAATTTTCTGGCTTTTAAGTTAACAAAAATATAATGAAATTATCATATTTTCATTGAATTTGGTGGAAAATTTAAATGTATGCTCATTTTGATAGCAAAAAAAGAATGCTGATATATACATTTTCCAATAAAAAGTCTTATTATACTATATTGATTCAGCTTTACACAACATACAAATAATATAAAAATACTGCAGCGTTAAAATTATTGGTGAAAATCTTTGAACAAGTAGAAATATTAAAGACAGAGACATCCAACAACACATCAAACAAAAACAAATCTAGAGGTCAACTCAGGATCATTAATGATAGACAAGATCTAGAGTTCATGCTCTTATCTGTCTCAAAATAGACAAATTGTGAATTAAGTCAACATCGACATTAAACATCTAACCTGCTTCACAAGTATTATCATAGCTAAACACAATATTCGTTCTTTCTCTAAAGTGTGTGTAATTACATGATATTGATAAAAATGTAAATCAGTATTTCACAATTTTTTAAATATTTTATTTCCTTGGACTATGGCAAAATTATTACTTTAATTTTTTTTAGTTTTTAAGTAGCCATTTCTTAAGATGGTCAGTTTTATAGTTTACTTTGAACAATGTATATGGAATACTGTAAACGAACAAACTTTCGCAACCAATTTCATTTAGCAATTTTTGCAAGTAGAAAAATAGCGAAAATATAAATTGTCGCAACTATGTCAAACTTGGATCTTTTCTTATCTAACTTCATTAAGTAAATTTGAAAATCATTAAATTATATCAATGTGAAGTGGTCTGGGTTCAATGTGTGCCAAAAATCTGTCTCTAAATTGTATTGTATGTCACACCATTTAATATTCCAAAATCCCAAAAATCTGAATTAAATGAAAGTAATAAAACAGGACTTTCTCAATAATTGTTTTTGATCAACTTATCTAAACTACTGGATGACAAAAAGTTGAAGTCTTGCATATCAGAGACTTAATTAGTACTTTAAAACATGCAAAAGTGGATCATAAATTTTTAATCAGACCAGAAAATGTCATTTAATTTAAAATTCAAACAAGTTCTAAAGTTAGTTCAAACAAAAAATACTAAATTTTAAATGTTAATGATAGTTTAGCAGAAAAACATATATTACAGCAACATCAAACATCAATGTGAAGCAGATTTATAACTAACATCACTGACATGCTTTAAAATGGTACACACAACATACAACAGCAATACACTTACTGAGCTGCACCATATCTCCAGTATCTTTATAAATAAAGCGGGATATTGATAATAACATATTACAATTTCTGGGAACAAGTTCTTATTTAGATTTTTAAAATGTCTGCTCCCTTAAACATGTTTATTTGTAAGGTTAAATGTGACTTTCTACATATTCATAGCTTTACAGGGCCTGGGTAGTCAAGCATAGTTTTATAGCTGCAATATTAAGTTCTATGCAAATAGTAATTATTGTCACCCCCATATCCAGAGTAGCATGCATATGATTCCTATTTTCTCACTTCTTACTAGGAGACAGAAATCCAGAATAAAACAATACTTCTCCAATCATTACAGGGAAGATATAATAACAAATAGGCTGATACTATATGGTAATTGTATGAGGATTATATGAACATATGTTCAAACATCATCCTATGCAGTATCCTTGTATTGTTACATTAGGCTTTCAAGTAATCCTACTATCTATGTCAAATAAAATAACAGTTGATATTTACCTCGGCCTCATCACATCGGCTGCTATAGTTGTATGTGTAAATTCTTTTTTACTGTCTAAATATGGATAACCATTTAATGCTATATGTGCATCATATCTGTTGAGCTATGTTAAAGATCTTTATATATAGAAATTTCTCCTGGTTATATCTCCTCCCATAATTCAAGTACAATAACTATTGCCATCCCATTACCTTAAGAGAATGGTACACAAATAATAATAAATGGCTAATTCAATATTACACTTGTATCAACCTGAGACACCAATTTTTTCCCTAGAGTTACATGTATTCGATTGTTTGAGGGTTTATATTGAAAAAAGTCACATCATATACACTTTATCATACACCAAAAATTGATGATGTTCAAGAGACTTGACAAATTACAGATTTGGGGTTTGATTAATCATCTTCAACTGTGCCAGATATCAACATCATCCTGAATAGCTGACACAGAACTATTATCATTTATTTTGTATATTATAGATATTAAGTACAAACAAGTTGATAAATGTTTTTCAGTGTATGTTATTTTATATAAAAATGTTTGTGAATCACACAAAAATAATTTAATGGTTATTATACCAAAAGGTCTTAATCAGTGTGGTATTTCAAATCTTAAACAATCAATTGTCTTGTTTCACAACAATTCACTTAACATGAGTATAACAGAGTTTTCACTGAATATCCTTCTGTTCAATGTTTTCTATAGAACTCAATTATTATGTTTTCACAACTAATTGATGTTCAGTTATTTCATTTTGTATGTTGAACTGAATAATTTTATGCTGCTTAAGTGCATTTAAAAATAAAAATTATCTACAGTTGTCTCCCTTAGACCAATAGAAATTTACTGATGCTATGAAATTAAAATTCATTTTTAATTTTAAAAAGCTAGAAAAAACTATTTTTGGATCTAAATTTTTATGAAATTTTCAAATACTTTATAGGCAAAGAAAGGCACCTCAAAAAGTGATAGTAAGGGGGAAGTTAAAATGGACAATACTAATGCCAAAAGAAGAAAAACAACATTCTACAAAAACACTACTTACAGAACTTGATGTTAAAAACTCTATTACAAAATAAAGGTGAAATCTGGAGCAGCAGAAGGGCAAGCATTTATGGAACTTTTGATTCTCATAACAAGTGCTATTGAGAAATATGTGAGTCGACATATACAAAGAATTGAAAGCAAGTATTGTGACTATGTCAAATTGTCCAGAAAAATATTATCTTGTAATAAATGAGCAGTTTGAATCATTTATTCAAAATATATTTTGGATACAGAAAACTTGCTTTTCAATATATTTCTATGAAGTAAATAATAATTTTTCCTTCAATGTATATACATTTGTACTATTTTTCATTAATGACCTAACTGCAAATAACTATCAACATTTTTCATCTTTGATAAATCTAATGTAGTGCAAAAAATCAAGAAGTCAACCATCAAAGGCAGATTTTTGATTGGTTATGGTACTTTGGTATTTTTCTCATGTTTCTTAGAAAAACATCCTCTGGGTATTTAAATGAACACTACCACTTTATTATTTCAGGTTTATTTTACATATGCTTAAACTTAAAAATAAGACTCTTATGAACCATGCATGAATAGTACTATTTATATTACCTCAAATTAATCTGCAAAATACCAAGAACATTAAGGATCATTGGCAGACTTTGGTCTTATTTTAGCTTGTTTTGTATTTTTGCAGAAAACAGAATAACATCCTACCAGTATTAAATTCTACACTAACATCTTGTATTTTGAGGGTTATTTACATGCTCCTTCAAACATAGGGCAGATACCTTTGAATAATGCATAAGTAATACTATTTAAATAGGAAGTTTTAAGGGGCGTGTATTTGCAAGGTCACATAGACATTTTTTCGGTCTGACTAGCATTATCATATAGTGCAAGAAGGATACATTCCATCTTTTCCTAAAGCATCTCCAACCCATTTACTTGTCATCACAGCTAACATTAATGGCACAATATACTGTAATCCTCCAGTCAACTCAAACATGATTACTACTAAAGATACTGAAATACATAAAAGTAGGTCACTGTAATCTAGCATGTCATTACTGCTAACATCAATGTCACAATATACTGTAATCCAACAGGCAACTCAAACATGATTACTACTTAAGATACTGAACTATATAAAAGTAGGTCACTGTAACCTAGCTTGTCGCTAATGCTAATGTTAATGGTACAATAAACTGTAACACATCAAACAATTTTAAAATAATTACTACAAAAGACGCTGAATTATATATATTTCAACATCGGATTCAGACTTCGTTTCAACTGAATTTTACTGAGAGTACTGCTGTGTGTTTGTTAACTCCACATTGGCTAGAGGTAAAGGTGGAGGGTTGAGATCTCACAAAACATGTTTAACCCCGCTGCATTTTTGCACCTATCCCAAATCAGGAACCTCTGGCCTTTGTTAGTCATGTATGTTTCTTAAATTGTGGTTCATTTATATGTTTCAGAGTTTAGTGTGATGTTTATTATTGTTGAAGGGCCAGGTAAAGCCAGTCGTTGGGTGTGGGATTTTCTCTCTGTGCTGAAGACCCATTGGTGGACTTTCCGCTGTTTTCTGCTCTTTGGTGGGGTTGTCTCTTTGACACATTCCCTGTTTCCATTCTCAATTTTAAAAATAGGTTACTGTTCTATAATAGCATATTACTGCTATCATTAAACGAACAGTGGTGGTTTAGTGTCCAACTGTTGTATAAGGACAGTGAGAAAAAAATGTACAAAAGAGATTATTATACACAAATGAGTTGCATGGAGTGATGCAATGATTTTAACCAGTCATTATTGTATTTTCCAAAGCTGCTAGAGGTTCAACAGCAAAATAAAGCCCTGATTTATGATGTAGAACTATACTTTAACCTCACCAGTCATTCTTGTAACTCCTCCTAAAGCTGCAGCAGCTCCCACCATGGCATACAGTCCTGGAGTTATGGTGCAAAACTGCTTTGATTGGCACATATTCTGGAAAAATGGGTTGTCATGGTTCCTCCTACAAAGATAACAACATAAACTGTACTTAAAGAATAATTCTTTTTGTTTAGGGAATGCAATTATCAAAAAAACTGCATATTGGTAAAAATATTTTTGACAGGAAATCTTGTGGATACTTAAGGAACTGAACCATAAATCCTCCCGTCCAAAACTGTGTAAACCTTTTCATTTGTATACATTTGTAGTGGTCATGTTATTCAATAAATGAGCAGTCACATTAAATTTTATTGATAAATAATTCTACAAGAGTGCAAACTCTGAAATGTCTCGCCTACTTTACTGACCATGTTTGGTTTCATGTTGGAAGTCTTAAAGATATAGGTTTTACTACAAGGATAACATAACCTTAAGATTATCAATCATCCATGACAATGATGTCATCTTCAGATAAACCCAACCAGACAGAAATGATTTGTAACACCTTATAATTATTCCATACACCAAATATAGTTGATCTATTTCATATAGTATCCAAGAAACAGATAAAACTATGAAATATTACATTGACAAATGAACCATGCAAATGAAGTCAAGGTCAGATGATACATGCCAGAGAGACATGTACACCTTACAATTATTCCATACATCACATATAGTTGACCTTCTGCATATAGCATCTGAGAAATAGACATAATCAGGTAACTTTAACCTTTATCACTGATCCATAAAATGAGGTTGAGGTCAGTTGAACCCTGTCTGACATACATGTAGACCTTCCAAAGAACCCTTAAACATGTATTGTTATCCTATTACTCATAATAAGGGAGAAGCACACATGAAAAAACTAGTATTTCTTTTATAAAGTTGCTGAACCATGAAAATAGGTTCAAGGACAATGGACATATTACAGACGGAAAACGTCAAACCAGAAGGTATATGCATACAAGGTATGAAGCATCTAGGTCTTCTACCCTCTGAATTATAAAGCTATATACAAAGAGTTAACTCCCCTGAAGCTGCATTAGGATTTCAGTCCCTATGTTTCGTATTCTACCACTATTGTCGCATGAGAGACAATCAGTTAAATTTTACAGCTATCTTAAACTAAAAGGTAGATAGAAAACGGCAGATAGCAAAAGTGATATTGCACGGTTGTTTTTTGAATTTCTAAAAACCAATATACTGTGTGACGTCATCTCATGATATTGTTAAAAGTTTTTAAAAGGTGTATATTTATGATAGACTACTTAGAGAAAAAAATCTTCAAATACATATATATAAAGATATACACAAAAAAAAACATGAGAAATAATTGAAAAAACAACTAATATGTAGTTATTGTCAAAGAGACAGTATGATATCTATAAAACTTCAATGATCAAAAAAAGAGAATATAATGCACTGATGATTTTGATATAAATATGGTCGAAAATTAATAATATAACAATCATAGCCTTTGTATGAGGTCAATACAGGATATATGGACCCAAAGAAGTATATCGACCTCAGACTTCATCCTCAGTCATACTTCTTTCAGGTCAATATATCCTTGTATCCACCTCATACAAAGGCTATAATTGTATAATATATAATAATCAAGTTCTAAAATTTCAAAATTGACATATGTTATGTATTAACAACATTGACTGCATGCATAGATATGCTACTAACAAAAATAGCATATCTATGCAGTCTCTGTTGTAAATACCTAACCTAGGTCATTTTTGAACTTTTAGAATTGTACAAGCATCGCTGTGTTCAGTTTCAGTTATAATTTTCAAGATTTTTATAGTTAAATCAGAATAGATTGATATGATTCATTTTATACATCATAATTATACTGATGAAGGATATTTGTTATCTGAAATATTTAACATCTGTTCATGATTTTACTCGTTTTTGGTGATGTTGTACCGTTTAGACTTGCTTATTATATACATATATACATATACCATATAGATATTAGATAATAACTCAGATATAAACCTTGAACTAAGTCAATGAACCATGAAATAAGTACCATGAGACCTTATCCTAACAAAATACTGTAAGACTGCCGCAAATGTACAAACACAAATAATTAATTTTGGCTTACTAGTTAATGAAATTTGTTTATTATCTGAAAATCTATTTGATTGTTAAAACACATGCACATTGATGTTAGGCTTGCAATGCTCCTTTAGTTCCTTCTCAACTTCATCTTGATGAACATAAAATAATACTCACACTACTAACTGTTCCATGCCTATACCAACAATTCTTCCTACAATAGCTCCTACTGCCATACTGGGAATAAATAAACCTGATGGCACCTGAAAACAGTTATGTAAATATATGTAAACTTTGGCCTTATCCTCCTTTTATATTAAAACAGAAGAGCTTAATATGTATATAAACAATATACAATAGAAAAGATATTATCTGATGACAACAAAATCAGTTTTGTCAAGGTTTATTTTTAGGAAGAACAATATTTCTTAGATGTGAGAATAGAATTACTGCATTGAGCTTACAAAAACAGCTATTTTCAGATTCAGTGAATATATCCAGGAAACAAAGGCATGGAAGTTGTTAAAAAATGCATGCTTCATATGACGCGTCAAGCCATTTAAAACTACTTTTTTGCAGTTTGTTTTTGTGTTGTGCTGTTACACCAGTGTCCCAGGTTAGGCCTCCAGAAGGTTGAGCGCAAACAAAAATGTTGAACTCAGCCACATTCTTTATTAGCCTGTTCCGTGTCAGAACTTAGGAGTCCTTTATTCAGTGGTAGTAGTTGGTTGCTGTCTGTTATATTTGTTTATTGTTTATGGCTAAGTCATAAAATAGGCTGTTGGTTTTTTCGTTTGAATTGATTCACATTTTGTCATGTCAGGGCTTTTTTATACCTGACTATATGGATATGGATTTGATCAATATGGAAGAATGTACAGAGACCTATAGTAGCCTATGTCCGTTTGGACTTTTTTTACTCTGTTGTTAAGTTGTCTAATTCAGTAATTGGCAATCATACCACATTTCCCAATTTTATATTATGTCTCAGAACTCAAGAATACCATTGTTAGTTCAAAATCAATCAAATTATTTTCAGAAAAATGAAACATGAAGAAAAATTCCAATAATTCTAGAATGGGAATATTGAAACCAGATATTGCTACCCAAGAACTGAAAGAACAAATCATGTGTAAATGTATTACATCTCGTATCAATTATCAATAGTATTCTATTATAGATATTCTGGTAAAACATCTTTTTTAAAGAATGAAGGGTAAAAACTATTATTAGTTTGCTGGAATGATTTGTACATTGTGATACTAGAAATAAAATGTAGCCTCAAACCGAACAAGTCTTAAACCAGATATCACATGTTTATTTGTCATTTGTATCTTTGTAATACTATTTCCAATTTCATTAACTCAAATTAAAATCTTTCTGGTGCTAAAAGAACAGCTTTTCAATGTCTTTCTCAGAAGTAAATATTGATACTGCCCAAAAGCAACAACCTCAATACATTCTTTTTTTTTTTGTTCTTTAACCTTTTTCATATATATTCTCCAAGAGGCATCAATCATTTACAATGCAATTCTCCATAGAATTTACATTTCCAAGTGACATAACTCCGATAAAAATAACATTGCTAATATAAACCTTTGATATAAATTTCATCAAAATCTAACAAGAATCGAACTTTTGATAGCACTAACAATGCAATTTGCCATAGAATTTATATGTCCAAGGAGCATAACTCCTTCAAAATCAAAGCACTGTAAGCGCTGTAGGCAGTTAACCAAAAACCAACGCAAACGTAATTATGAAAACTGTGGCAGTGTTGCTTCAATTTTTTTTTAAGATTTGAAAGAACAAACATTAAATATTTGTATAGTGTACATTTATGTTCATTAAATGAATTGATTATTAAGGCAAATTAATTAATATTTCATCAAGGTTTTCAAAAGCAACTCATATATCAATGTAAATGACCCCCATCTTCACCCCCAAGTGCATGATGTTACTCCATACCAAGTTTGGAATAAAATGACAGGTGATTATAAAACAGTTGGTCAAACATTCTCAGGCTTTACACTGCTTGAAAGATTTATATGTTTTCTTTAAAATGAGCCATAAATGAAAATTATTATAGGCCCAGAAATAATTTAATAAATAATTAAAGTAAATTCAATTAACCTAGACTCATTTTTTGCATCAATAAAATTTTATAATAAACAAGAAATAATTGTAACAGGATGCCGTTACGAAGTCTCCCAAACAAAGCCCCCATAATTCATCATTCCCATGGTCTCCTGACATTGGGCAAAGTCCAGTTCATATTGGTTTGGTCTAGTAAAGTGATATGCATATGTGACACCTAGGAGATTGACCCTGTATGTCATTCAAATCTTTTTGAAATGATGAACAGGAATAAATATGGTTTAGGTGTGGGTATCTCGACCGTTTACAAAGTTCTCAAACAGGAGGGGGTGGGGTGACCCCAGGGACTCCCCCTATATTTCATTTGATTTGTTATATTGTCCCATACATTAATACATATGGTTTAGGGGTGGGGATCTCGACCATTTCCAAGTTCTCAAACAGGAGGGGGTGGGGTGACCCCAGGGACTCCCCAAATATTTCATTTGATTTGTTATATATATTGTCCCATACATTAATATATATGGTTTAGGGGTTGAGATCTTGACTGTTTACAAGTTCTCAAACAAGAGGGGGTGGGGTGTCCCCATGGACTCCCCCTATATTTCGTTTGATTTGTTTTATTGTCCCATACATGAATATGTATGGTTTAGGGGTGGGGATCTCGACCATTTCCAAGTTCTCAAACAGGAGGGGGTGGAGTGACCCGAGGAACTCCCCATATATTTCATTTGATTTGTTATATTGTCCCATACATGAATATATATGGTTTAGGGGTGGGGATCTTGACTGTCTACAAGTTCTCAAACAGGAGGGGGTGGGGTGTCCCCAGGGACTCCCCCTATATTTCATTTGATTTGTTTTATTGTCCCATACATGAATGTATATGGTTTAGGGGTGGGGATCTCAACCATTTCCAAGTTCTCAAACAGGAGGGGTTGGGATGACCCCAGGGACTCCCCATATATTTCATTTGATTTGTTATATTGTCCCATACATGAATATGTATGGTTTAGGGGTGGGGATCTCGACCGTTTACAAGTTCTCAAACAGGAGGGGGTGTTGTGACCCCAGGGACTCCCCCTATATTTCATTTGATTTGTTTTATTGTCCCATACATGAATATATATGGTTTAGGGGTGGGGATCTCGACCATTTCCAAGTTCTCAAACAGGAGGGGGTGGGACGACACCGGGGACTCCCCCAAATTATTTTCATTTGATTTCTTTTATTGTCCCATACAAGTATACATATTGTTTAGGGGTGGGGATCGCGACGGTTTACAAGATAAAAGTACATTTTCAAATTGAAGGGGGTTGGGATGACCCCCAGGAACTCACCCTATATTTTGGTTGATTTTTTTTATTGTCCTGTTCTCATTACTGAAAACTTCATGTGTCTATCACTTACTGTTTTCGAGAAATAGTCATTTGAAAATTTAAAAAAATAAAATCCCATAGGGTTCTATAGTTAACCCCTCCCTTCTTCAGGCCCCTCCAAATACCCCTAAATAGACCCCAATGCACAAACAAAAGATTAATGGCTCCGCTAGACATGTTAGTCTATTATTTTATGAAACCCTAAGTAAATCTGACAAACGGTCAAAGTTGTCTTCTTAGACGGTTTGAGTAGATATGGTCCGACTTGTCTCGGGGACGAGTTGTCCACATTACTTAAAACATCCCATCAACGTCGATTTCCGCATCTGTTTCATGACCTCGTTTCATTCATAAAATAACAACAACCTTATTTGGCAAGATAAGTTAAAAATTACCGCCCACTTATATAACTTTTATTTCCTCTATCATAAAGATTTGTTGTACATGAACAATATTCCTGCGCATTTTGCCATTTGGGAAATATTAACGACTTGTAATTACCGATTTTCGGCGATGAAATATTTCATACAATTGTTCTTTGACATCGTAGCCAAAAGCACAGGGGATAATAAACTACGTACGGATTTCTATTGAGCACTACTTCCTATGTGCAACTTCAAAAGTTTTGGGTAGTCCGACGATCATTTAAGGTTTTTCTGGTCATATTTTTTGTATTCCAGAAATAAAAGTATTAAAAAAATGTCCAATTAGTTATAAATAACATAATAGCCAGCTAGATAATAACAATGGCACGTATTTCAGCATTTATTGGATAGAACACAAATCTAGGGTGCTCGCATAAGGCAGCTTAACTGCTTAAAAATTAATTGGTACTATTTAAGACCTTGTCCATAACATTGGTTTAAATCTTTGACATCAATTTCATTGAGATCTGGCAAGAATTGTACACTTGAGAGCAGGGGCTTTGCTCAGCGGAAAATAGTCTGATTTTTTCAAAATTCCATGAACACTTACCTTTATACCAAAGGTAAAAATAGTAATTAGACCTTTAAATAATAATCCAAGAAACAGCATCCACAGGGCTGTGTAAACTCCATCCCCTGCTACTGTACTGGATGTGTAAGAACTCAGAGAGGTCGAGTTTCTTGTGTAATCACTGAAAAAACATAAAGAAATCTATAATATGATCTTACAGATGTACTGGATGTATAAGAACTCAAAGAGGTAGAGTTTCTAGTGTAATCACTGAAAAAAAACAATAATGAAATCTATAATATGATCTTACAGATGTACTGGATGTGTAAGAACTCAAAGAGGTAGAGTTTCTTGTGTAATCACTGTAAAAACATAAAGAAATCTATAATATGATCTTACAGACGTACTGGATGTGTAAGAACTCAAAGAGGTAGAGTTTCTAATGTAATCACTGAAAAAAAACATAATGAAATCTATAATATGATCTTACAGATGTACTGGATGTGTAAGAACTCAAAGAGGTAGAGTTTCTTGTGTAATCACTGTAAAAACATAAAGAAATCTATAATATGATCTTACAGACGTACTGGATGTGTAAGAACTCAAAGAGGTAGAGTTTCTAATGTAATCACTGAAAAAAAACATAATGAAATCTATAATATGATCTTACAGATGTACTGGATGTGTAAGAACTCAAAGAGGTAGAGTTTCTAGTGTAATCACTGAAAAAAAACATAATGAAATCTATAATATGATCTTACAGATGTACTGGATGTGTAAGAACTCAAAGAGGTAGAGTTTCTAGTGTAATCACTGAAAAAAAACATAATGAAATCTATAATATGATCTTACAGATGTACATGATTATGTCCACCTCATTATCATGTACACCTCCAAAATGTGTACTTACAATAGGAAATTTTGCACACTAAAAATACTTTAAAACTATGTCCTTCTGATTTGATTTCTTAAAATGCCCAAGAATGGTCTGCAACATATGTTTACAGGTGTATACTAATTAATAAAGTCAGTATTATTTTAATCACTTGATTTAGATGTTTATGAATTAGGAAGATGTGGTATTACTGCCAATGAGAAACTTTACATACAGATCAAAGCACAAAGATATAGACAATAATAGGTCACTGAATGACTTTGAGAAAAACACACATCATCAAGTAAGATAAGAAGGCATCAGTATAAAAAAATGTAAATTAATCAAAAGAGAAAAGCAACCACTTGATTTTTCAAAAAAGAAAGAAAAAACATGGAACAACAAACCACAATCACTGGAATACAGGGTTTGTTCTCATGATACAGAAAAAAAAATATTAAAATAGTGAAAACTAAAAATTTAACAAGTTGTACACAAACATTGAAAACAGAAAATTATGATGATCTTAAATTAATACTATGATCTTAAATTAATACTAACGCTTACATTTTATGTTCACAATGGTTGAAAACATTATATAGGAACCTTAATATCAAGTCAGTACTACTTGACAATATGTGCCCTACATTTCTTTCAATTTCATATCAAATATATTACATAGTTCTACCTTTTAAAAATCCAGGTAAATTCTTAAAGTTTTATATTGTTGATAAACCCAGGTGTATGTTACTAAATATAGTGCAGGTAATTTCCCATTTTATGAGTTTTGTCAGCCATTACCCAATCATATATTCAAAGTGAAACAAAAAGGAAAGTAAGTAAATTAAAAAACATTATTAATCATTTTATAAAGTGATTTTTTTCTATACATTTTATGGCAATTTTGAAAATATTTATAAATATAAATGATATCAGTAGCTTCTGAATTAATGTTACAATCAAAAATCATTTGATAAGGATTAAATGGCTTAAATTCAAATATAAGGACAAAAATGAAATAATTTAAATGACTGTTGAAAAAATGTTTAATACAATTTAGGCTGTGGCAAGTCAAGATTTTCATCATGTATTTATAGAATGGATAAAGAAGATAAAAGAAGATACTTTGTTGTTGGATCCGTCTACTTAGAGGTTGTTACTCCATTGTTTCAACAAAAGTTAGAAGAAAAATATCAAGGCCTAAACTTCAGATGTCTAAAAGATTTCCTTGATAAAAAGGCTACCATCCACATCTTATTTCACCTACGCCACAGGAATGCATGGTGCTGTACAGATAAAGCAAACTGCACCAACCATGGCGCTCTTCCTCTTAATCATCATCAATGGAAACAACTGTACTCTGAAAATCCAGGGCCTGGTATACACAACTGTTTTTGTAAGTACACTGCTAAATCAATCAAACCAGTGGATCTTGATTTGAGTTTGTGTGGTCTAATACTGTATAACTGCTGCAACTTGGCACAACTTGATGGAGAAGCAGTCCATATACTCCGAAGGAATAAAAATGACTATCTGAGTCATAACACAACATGTGGTATAACCAAAGATGAGTACGACCCATTGATGGATGAGCTTAAGACCAATATCCTGCAACTAGACCAGACGAAAGAAGACGAACTGATAAGGATACAGAAAAGACCACTTGATGATTCACTGTGTAACAAATACATGACAACACTTCTAGATATTCACGAAATATTGGAAAAGGTATTGTATTATTTCAATGTAAACAAAAATAACAAAAGAATTATTATTCTACATTTCTATGTATGGGGAGGGTAGAGATATAGAAATAGTTTAACCCAGCATATGTATGTTCATATGCCTGCCACCTTTCAGGAAACATGCATATGGTTGGCTTATGCCCTATCATAAAATTGTTGTCTTTTGGGGAATTTGTGTTGACAGATCTTTGTTAGTCTCGGAGAAACGAGTAAGTTTTCTGCTTATCTAATAGAAAAACAATGGATATGGAGTATCCATCCATGACACAAAATCAGTTAATGCCCAACAACAAAAAACACACAAAAAGCAAAGGAACAGCACTTTTATTGCTGTTCTTCATCTCAAAGTCACAGTCCATTTATAGTTTGAAGTTAAAAAAATAAACAGACCTATTTTTGTGCAGTTTCTCTAATAAAGTGTTAGCAAAAATAGCCAAAATTAGAGGTTTTGATGTTTGAAGACATCATTTTGATTTCCACCTAATTTAGTCCTAGGTAACCTAGAGCACAGGCTTCAACAAACTAAATATTCAAATGAGATATATGTAAAATGTTATAACAAACATTATGGTTAAACATTTTTATTGTCAACACATGGGTTCTATGTATCAAGTAAAAAAAATCAATGGAAACTTACCTGTTATCTTGAATTTTCATTGTGACATTTGTGACGTCATAAAAAGAATGCTAACACTTAAACTTTCAACAAAAAGTTACATGTCCAACCTAGTTGTTGTTTTAACTATTATTCATTGTAATTTAATCGATAAAAGCTTATTCGAAATTCAAGCTAGAAATAGGGGCCATTTGAGGGCCTTATTGAACCTAATGCGGCTACTCCTTTGTCTGCAGTTTTTTATACTCTAGGTGATTTGTAGCTTAACATATTATAAAGACATCTTTTCTTTTGTTGAAGACATCTTATGTTGATGTCTTCAAATATTTTTGTGTCATTTGAATGCTGCCTCTTTACAGGGGCATTAGCTACGAGATATAAAAATAGGACACAGATGATGCCCCCGCTTGCATATAATGTTATAAAGGGACATAACTCAAGAATGGTAAAAGTGACTCTTACCAAATTCGTACTTGATATGAGTTTGTGGTAATATTTGGCATGGTGTATAAGATTCATTACATTTGAATTTGAATGAAGCAAACTTAAGTTAGAGAAGGGAAACGAAAAATTCAGCAATTTTTCGATTTGTAAATGGGGACAACTCTAGAACAGTTAAAGTGATGCCACCCAAATTCAAACTCAATCTGTGTTTTGCGGTAATAAGCATTGTGTATAAGTATCATAACATTTGGATGAGTCAAACTTAAGTTAGAGAACGAAAACCAATTTTGGGACGTACGGACGTACAGATGGACAAGAGTAGAACTTAATGCCCCCTCCGCTAAGGCGGGGGCATAAAAAATTTAGATATGATTATATATGTTCAATCATTAATGAAAGTAAAATAGTGAAACAATAAATTGCTTATAGCAGCCACTTTGGTTCAATTTTGCCAAAATAAGCTAAGAAACATTGCTGATGAATTATTCATTTGCAATAATTTGACCTCATTGAATCCGTATTCATGTGATCTTCCATTTAACCTCTTTGTTAGAGATGGGTTATGCATTAATAAGGCATATTCAGTTATTAAAAGGAAAGGAACATTGAAAGTGAAACAAGGGTAAACCATTTGATTAACTGATTCGATCCACAAAAACTCATTCTTATATAGGTAAAAACGATGATTAACAGATATTTTTAACATATAAAATAAAATCAAACAAACCTAGAAAAATCCAATTGCAAGAGTTCCCTATCTATCTATATGTATATTTATGTTTATATCAGGTTATATGGCTGTTGGCAGTCTTTAGAGGTCACCTCTATGGTTAATTAGTTGGCGTCTAGACAAAAATACATGCGAAATGCTGATACATATTATTGAACCCATGCATTGTAAATTGTTTATTGTTTGCTGTTTGTCAAAAAAAAAAAGACAGCCTTAGGGTGAATCTAAGGGCTTGCTATAATACATTTTGAATATTGGCTGAATTCTTGTATTCAATATATACATACATCACACTTTGCACTTGTGTCGATTTTTATATTCCAGTCATGTTTTTGTACCAATGTGTTCCAGAATTCTTAGGATATCATCCACAGTCAAAATTTCCTGACACAAAATCATTGTATCAATAAAAAAATCTACGGAAATTAGTGTCTTGACATACCACGATTTGTGTTCTTCGACACTGCCTATTACTCATAATCAGAGTATATTTCATGCCCTTCCTGTAATCTCTATTTTCGGACGATAATGTTGTCATTAAAGACCAGCAGAATATGTCTACTTAATTATGTTGAATAAATAACTTGAAGAAACATGAAAACCAAAATTTGCAACAGGAATTTTTTAATAAACAAAATTATCGGTGGTTACTTGTAACAGAAAAAAAAATCCACAAATCGTAATTTTTAAAAATTAAAAAAACTGAGCGGGTGGGGATGAAAATCTAACAATTAATTCTAATTGGCCTAAATTCAAGTGCTACTTATGGCCC